TGCATGGATCCGATTGAGCATGTCTTGACGAGACTCTCTATCGACCCTGCTGCTGGGCACCTGTTTCGATGAGACAGACACAGTGTTATTGATGGGCGTCTTTTCTGCAATTCTGAATTCGGTGTCCTCTCCTTCATACTCTGCTTTCTCAACATACTCCTGCTTACCTGACTGGGTAGCTGGACTCGGGTAGGGTGATTTCCCATGGTTGCCACGACCACGGAATCGGAATCCTCCCCTGCCACCAAAGGCTCCTCCCCTGCCACCAAAGGCTCCTCCATAGTGTCCTCCACGGAATCCACCTCTGTGGCTGACCTGACTGGGTGCTCCCTCCACTGCAGCATGCTCTTGCTTTACAGCGGTGCCATTGCCATTAGAAGTTCCCTTCTTCTGACCAATCTTCGATGCTGCGTCTCGCGCATCCTGCTGTCTGGTCTCTTTCAACAGCCTCGCCTTCTTCCCAGCTTCGATCATCGCCTTCCACTGTGCAGAATCATCGGGTCCATGCATGAAAGACATAGACTTGATGAAAAAGTCCAGTGTGGTGTCATCGGGTTTTTCCATCCCAATTCGATCCATGACTAGGTCCAGCTTGTAGGCGACCGTCATCATTGTCAGCGCCATCGACGGCACCGACATGCGCAATGTCTGCGTGACATCAGCACACTTCGGCAATTCATGGATCTTGTAGACGTCGGCGGTTCTCCGGAGTCGTAGCGAGTACTCATCGTAAGCCTCGCCCTTCTCTTTGCCTTCTCTGGCAAAATTCTCCACCTCAATCGACTTCTCCATGGGTGTCAACGCACAGTTGACAAACGTCTCCTCGCACAGTGTCCAATCCCAGCTTGCGTCAGGCTTCGCTCGGATTGCCGCTTCGAATGCAGTGTCAACTTTTTCATCCATGTTCGCCAACTTCAACATTCGCATACACAGTAGGTTGAACTTCTTGAGCCCTTTGCTCGTCTCACCATGGCTTTTGAATTTGAACAAAAACTCTCGGACATTAGTGATCAGAGGACCTGTTACCTTAGCGCCCAGCTTTGGCAACGTGTGCGGCAATTCCACTGGCCTGTGGAATCGTGGACATTCGGGAGCAAGAGACACGGAATCGTCATCTCCGGACCTTTTGACCTCTCTGGACAGACTGCTCTGGGATTCGACTCTCCTTTCGCATTCATACTCGATCCTTCCTGACAACTGCATGTTTTCCAACATGCTGGACCACATCTTCAATTCAGTCTTCGCCTTCTCCACCTCCGCAGCCGTCTTCTTGAACAGAGCGACAGACTCGGGAGTTGCATTGGGTTTCGACTGTATGAGGTATTGTTGGCCCATCGTTTGGGTCAGGGTTTTCAAGGACTCTGATGTTGTCCGACAGATCTCCGTCATTCCCTCGAACGTCATCGTCGAAGCGTCATCGTCGACCTCCATGGTGTTGTCTTCGCCGTTGGACGCCGATCCGTTGAGGTTCAGGTTCTGCATCGCGCCTTCGACTAAAGGTGCCCTGGTTCCCGTCCCCTGCGTATTCTCGCTGCTACTTGCACCTGAATCGCTCATCTTCTGCACTGTCTGTGCGTGATGGATACACAATCAATGGATGATGGATGTATAAAAACGGATTAGAATCAATGCTCCGTCGGATTACTGATAACGATACGTTTTATTAAATAACGGATATGATGAACACTGATGATCACTGGCACGTCGTGTACGCTTGATCTGTTCTATGGCAATAATACCGACGGCAATCAGTAATATGCTCCAACCGTGCAGGTCTTCTGGCTTGGTTGTGTTTCTCTTCGAATCTTCTTGTTTCAACAATGGATTCGTGTTTTGATCCTCTCTTCTCAAACTCAATTAAAAAACTGTTATGTTTTGGGCTCACAAGATATAATTGGGACAAAGAGAGGGATCAGAACCGGCCCCGTCCAGCTCAGTCTTTTAAGGCTGAGCTGAAGTGATTCGGTATTGCTCTGGTCTACTTGTTTTATTAAGAAGTGTCGTTCTAGCGGACTGACGACCCAAATATACGACACGCACCAAGCTGGATCCGAAACTAGGATCCACAGCACTATTCTCTGGAAGCTTCGCGTGATACTACTGTACCACACAGGCTCGCCCGCCTTACTCAATGTGGGGGTCGCCGGGGAAAGGAAACCCACATAACTGAAGTGGGGTAGTACGCCCGACTCATGCTCCAAATAGATTTCTATGCGTAGCACATATTACTGTGCTTTAACCAGGGCTCGAACCTGGTCCCTTCGCGTTACAAGGGAGGTGCCCTGACCAGTATGCTAACTGAGCCATCGGGCCTCGACATTGCATATATAGAATTTTTTTTTTTTTTTATTCAACATGGCCTCCGAGAGAGAACAATCAGTGCTGGTTTCCTAGTGAATAGTCTCTGAGACTTGTGTCTATTCAGGCGTCATCAGGCCTGGACAACCCAACGTCGTGTCAAGAGAGCGATACCAGATCTTGCCGACGTGGAGTGGCGGTCCACCCTTGCCCATGTCCACGACAAGCGCTCTGTGCACACGTTCTTCAGCAGTGCTGCTGATACGTCCCAGAGGACACATCATATTAAGAAGCTGCATGGTATGCTGCCTACCCTGAATACCATGAAGGCTCGCCACCCGAGTCTATATCCTGACCGTGTCTGCTGCGTCTGCGATGTTCAGGACGAAGACAACCATCACCTGTGGACGTGCAGTGCTACTAGAGATGTCCACAAGGCGATCTGGCGCGAAGGGCTACAGCAGATTGATAAGTGGGGACGAGCTGCAACGACCGCATACAACAAGAACAGCAAGAAGCAGCAAGAGCGTGATAGGATCCGCGCTGGAGCCGCCGCTGCTGCACCGAAACCCATTCGATGGGTTTGTCCTAACAACGAGACCCACATCCGAGGTCTATCCTGTATCGCCGGGACCCGATCAATGCTCAAAGGCGACGAGTATCATGACCGCTCTCCGGATCTGACCTGGAGCATCAGCGATTTATGCCGTGGCATCACACCCGTAAGCCTTATCAAGGAGTGGGGCAGTCTATTTACCTCGCCATCGTCGATTGCGCGCCAGGTCATTCACAAGTTCGTCGGCTTTATTGAGGAGAAAGCTACGGAGCTGATCTGGAAACCACGCTGCAAGGCCACCATTGCTCGAGAGCGAGAATGGGGGATCACAGCCAAGATGAAACGAACTCCATACAAGGGACCGAGAGGGGACTGGAGTGATGGGTATGGATATATTAGCGACGATGACCAATGTCCGTGTGGTGCATTACTCGCTGACCATGTAAACGGGAGCTGCCCTGGCCCCGTGCTTGACCCAGACGCAGCGGATCGGACGCTGCTGGATTGCCTGCAAGGGAGGAGGCGGTTGACAACCATGGAGGGGATGGGGAAGATACCCTTCTTATAACAAGGTGTTTTCAGCTTTTAACACACTGATGAGGTGTGGCAATTGTTGCGCAGGCCCTAGGGGCAGGCCCGGGGAATGTGACCTGTCTTTTGGCGACTGTGGATCGGTTCCGCTTTGGTGGTGAGGACAGCGATAGTAGATCTTTGCTAGTTAGTCTGATAGATTCGCAGAGTCAATTGACTCGAGAGACAAGTTGTTATAAAAAAAAAAAAAAAAAATCTGAGACTTGTGTCTATCTGGCCCTAAATCTTCTAGTGTGGCAGTCGCACCATCTCCAACAACTTCACTGTAACCTCCCTAAGCGTCCCGAGGTCTTTCTCCTGCGATCCGCTCGGCTAGCTGGCAGGCTCCTCACCTGCTAATCTGCCAAGACCATCTCTCCAATTGTAACCTGTACATCTGGGAGATGGTCTTGGTTTCTTGAGAGCACGGAATCCGTTCTACTGGCTTGCGAGCCGAATCCTCTACTATTGTAACATTTCCTCCTCCTCCTCGTCCCGTCTTTCCTCCACCTGAGGTCACTGGATGTGAGCTCAGATTAGCCTATTATAAAGTGGGCCTACTCACTTTTGAACTTATACCTGTAACCCCGGCAGGGGTAGCTAAGACGCATGCTGCCAGTGCAGTGGAATAACTTGTACACCCTGGTGTATAGCTGGGAAGTTCTGAACCAGCGCCTCTCGAAGTCCGGAGGCTAGCGCAAGGGCGAAATTTATTCTGAGCATTTTGTCGAGCGTTAAGGAAGGGGAAAGGAAACCCACAACGATTACATGGGGTAGTGCCACTCAATGTGGGGGTCGCCGGGGAAAGGAAACCCACATAACTGAAGTGGGGTAGTACGCCCAACTCATGCTCCAAATAAATTTCTATGCGTAGCACATATTACTGTGCTTTAACCAGGGCTCGAACCTGGTCCCTTCGCGTTACAAGGGAGGTGCCCTGACCAGTATGCTAACTGAGCCATCGGGCCTCGACATTGCATATATAGAAAATATGCAAATAGGGAATAACGTGCAGATAGGGAGAGAAATATACACAGAATAATAATACTTCTAGACTGCGACATTTAACGAGAAAAAGCGTGGTTGGTTTAGTGGTATAATTACCGCCTGCCACGCGGTAGACCCGGGTTCGATTCCCGGACCACGCATTATACTTTTGCTTTATTGTACAGTCGACCTCCAATTTAAGTCCTATTTTGCGACTTAAATTGGAGGAGCAGTCACGTATTCAGTCCAATTGAACTGAGTAAATATTTATTCACACGCACTTTCACTTCCCGAGCCCATCCTTCTACCATGCCCAAAACAACGCGCTCTGTTCACACAGCCCCAGCTCCCAGTCCAGTAAACACCAAACGTGCTGGCTCTGGGACCTCCGCTTCCAAATCACACAAACCTCGGAGGAGTACACTCTTTACGATAAGAGTCAATTCCTCTCAAAGTATCGTGCAGAGCAACAGCATAACCCATTTGAACCCCATGGCGCCATATCAAGAATGTTGGGCATGCATCCCCGCACAGCCGCCCACATACTCAAGGAGGAAGGCAAAATTCATCAAGCAATGACGACGCGGCCGCTTTCGGCAACAAAAGCAATTGCACACACCAAGCGGAGATCAATGGAGATTGCCGAAGAGGTCCTCTATACCTGGTATAAACTGCAGGAGTCTTTGGGTACGGAAGTCAATTTCTGATCCTCAGTTGCTCGCTTCTTAAGCATACTCCTAATCCATATATTTTGACAGGCATCAACGTGTCTGATTGTCGCCTGAAAGGGACTGCTGTAGTAATATGGATCCTCATGAAGAGTTACTTCCGTCCCGAGCATCTGCCAAAGCCGATTAGCTTTTCGAATGGCTGGCTTCGAAATTTCAAGAAACAAAAAGGACTCAAGAGATACATTGGCCATGGTGAAAGCGGATCAGTCGACTTAAGTCTCTACGAGTCTCAAATCCAGAACATCCAAATGGCACTCGAGGACTTTGACCCAGACAACGTCTACAATTGCGATGAGACAGGTCTCTTTCTAAAGGCTATGTCAAACAAGACCATTGCCACTGGTCCCATCCGCGGCAAGAAAATTACTCGAATTGCTCGAGTGTCAGTTCTATTGTGCTGCAATGCCACGGGCACAGACAAGCGCAAGCCATATATTCTTTGTAGGTAGTGAAGCATTATCCAAGAACTGTGACAGTGGAGTTGAAAAGGGTTGCTTGCTTATTTTTTTTTTTTTTTTTTTTTTAATGCAGCTAAGCACCGTCCAAACGGGCTGGCCAAAACGACATTGATGGAAATGGATGCTGAATTTCAAGGAAGCGGATACATGACACACGACTTGTTCGCCGACTGGCTCTGGGAACTAGACTGGGACATGCACAGGAGGAGACGCAAGATCGCTTTGCTGATCGACAGCGCACCAGGACATGGCACATGTGAAAATTTGGGCCTTCCCAATATCACCATCATCCGGCTACCACCAAACACAACATCGATGACTCAGCCACTCGACGCTGGGATTATCCGGACCTTCAAGGTCTTCTATAGTCAAGAGATGCTTGAGATTGTCTGCAGTCGTCGTGTTCAAAAGAGGTCACCTACGGCAACAGTTCCGAATGGGAGGCTCTGGGTATGTCTGGTCAACTCTTGGAAAAAGGTGACTCCTGATTGCATCCGCAATTCCTTCGTCCAGGTTTCAACCCTGTCTGAGTACTAAAAGATACATTTGAAGGCCCTGGGAGTCAATACAAAGGTGGATCAAGTCAATCGCCTTCAGGAAGAGCTCATGAAACAGTATGCAGGAAACGAGGAAGATATTGCCCGTCAGAAGGACTTTTCTGTCCTGAATTATCTCAGTATGATCCACAGCGAGGGGCCCACAAAAGCGATCCACGAACTCGCCCTCCAGGTAATGGGTCGCGAGGAATACAAGGGAACGTTCCTATCACTCAAGGAGAATGATTTCGCGGATGAGGATAGTTTCAATAATGATATGTTGGATGACGATGACGACTCTGATCCTGATTACGAGGACACGAAACCAGCTACCGATGATCAAGAGATGCAGGTAGTCAAAACCGTTCTCCGTGGCCGCACTATGGATAAGATAGTTCCCCTCGAGGATTTCTCTTCACCA